CGTCGACGCCCCCCCCCCCCCCCGCCCCAAACAAATAAATATAAATAAATAAAAAACAAGGGAAAGAAAAAAGACCATAAAGTGGCCAGTGGATACATAGTGATCTTGGAGGCTGGGCTAGCCCTTCTATTATTTATGAGACCATGGCTCAATATGTAGTGCTGGGGGCCCTGGAACTCATTATGTAGGCCAGGCTGGCCTTGAACTCACAGTAATCAAATGCTTCTGTTTGGGATTAAAGGTGTGTGTCTCCCACATCCAGCTTGTTTATTGCAGTGTTGGGATTAGAAGCCAGGGCCTTAGGCATGCTAGGCAAGGTCTCTATCACTGAGCCCTTTCAGACCTGCTTAAATCTGTAGGGCAGGAAGGGCAGGGCTGGGGAGGTCGCAGAGGAGAGGGCCAGGCAGAAGGGACACTGGAAGGCAGGGCTACCTACATGCCAGACAGAGCAGACCAAAGCCCTGAGCACTTGCAGACTACACTTTGTGGGTGTGGAGGGCAGTATACACACTCACATGCTGGGTTAGGTGTTTGGTGGTGGTGGTGGGCAGTAAAACAGGGTGGGGCAACACCAGAGCCATTACATTCCACAAAGCCCCGCCCATCACGTCTGTCTTTTGGTTAGAATTAAGTGTAGACCAAGTGCTGGCATGAACCGTGCAAGGATTTGAGGCCGGAGGTAGGTGGTGGGCAGGTAAGGGTCAGCAGGACACCTGTAAGGTGGTCAAGGGGTCAAATCAGGGTCAGGCTTGGTTGGTTGTCAACAGTGCTGGGTAGGTAGTTGGCTGGAGCAACTTGGTGCTGTAGGCACCAAGGTAGGAAAGGAGACACTAGAGCCGGCAGGGGCAATTAGCTTCTAGTTGGAGAATCCACTAGGTGCTGGTGGTGCTCTGAAATATAAGGGTCACATGCATTGCTGGGTGTGAGAACGGATGCCCTTGCTATCAAAGAACCTTGCCAGAAGTGAGTCCGGCTTTACCCAGCCACAGAGGCTTGTCCTCACCATCAGTTGCTGAACCTGGCTACCAGACCTGCACGGTCTCGTTCTCATGGGGATGTCTCACCAGTTCAACATTGTCTAGGAATTCTACCCATCCTAGGACACCTAGTGATGACTAAGACCCAAGTTTCCTGTCTTTAGTGTTCAGTAGGTTTTAAACCTCTTAATTGTAAACATGCCCAGTGTTTCAGAGTCCTGCATTGTGTTTAGGGAGGGGAGTTTGGGGATGCCCCCTGAGGGACCTCAGTGGCATGAGGTGATGAGGGGGGAGTTGTTGGATGATGTCTCCAGTGGATTCTGAGTGGCAGATGGGAATCTGGACAGGGAAAACCTAGAGTGTAGAGACTGAAGGATGAGCAGCTGCAGGGCAAGGGCAGGGAACAGCTGTGGCTGCCCTTGTGGAGCTGATGGAAGTATTCTGTGGAATTGCGCAGCAGTCACAGAGCTAACATTCATAGATCCACACCAAGAGTTTTTTTTCCCCCATCTTTTTCCTTTTCCTCCTCCCCCACAGGGTTCCTGTCTTGGAACCCACTTTGTAGACCAGGATGGCCTCAGACTCAAGGGATCTGCACTGCCTGCCTCTGAAGTAGTGGGGTGGAAGGCATACCTGGCTTCCCTTTTTAAAGACAGGGTCTTGTTAGGTAGCCCAGGCTGGCCTTGAGATTGAGGCAATCCTGCTTGTCTCCCTGGCACCAAGATCACAAGTGTATTCGATGCATGTAAATTATACAGAGAAAACCATAATGCCCTATACCCATGAGCCGGAGATTGCAGCACTCAGGAAGTGGGTGGTCACAAGATCAAGGCAGCCAGGGCAATGTGGAGAGGGCCTCAAAAGAAAACCCTTCTACTATGTAAAAGAGAAAAGGGAGTGGAGGGTGAGAGAAGAAAGTGAGGGGCAAATTTATGCCCCCAGCCTCTGGACCTGAAGATGTAGCCCCTGCTGGTTGCCAAGCAGGAAGAGATGTAACAATTTCCCAGGAGTCCCTTTCACAGCCCCAGTGTGCTACCCAGTGTCCTGCCCTCAGCGGCCCCAGGATGATGCTTCTCATGTCCCCAACCACTCACTTTTATGACTTTGAACCTGGTGCAGAGCTGGGTTTACACTGCCAAAGCAAAGGTCTGAGCTTTCCGTCAGGGCTATGGCATGGCCACTGTGTGTACTTCAGGACACCAGAACATTGGGTATTCTGCTTCTGGGGTACTGACCCAGGGAGGGGAAGCCAACCACTAGTCAACCACCAGAGTTCAGTGCTCCCTAGGCTGGGACCTTAGCAGTGGTGAGCCCCATCACCTGAGGGCACTAAGACTTTATTCAGCCTCTGGAGCCAGTCTGGAAGGCATTGCATGCAAAGGCGCCTTCAGTGGACAAGGCCAGACAAACACTGTTAGTCTCCTAGGAGTCACGGTAAGTCTTTGAGAAAATGTGCTGGAGACAGAAGCCAAAGCTGTAAACTGTCTTCAGAATCAGTAAACACCATGGGCTGTCTTCTGTCCCGCCCACTCCTGAGATAAACAAAACTATCTCCCAAAATGCTCACAACCCATGCAAAGTGATCCCCAGCTAGCAGATTGCTAGAACACTTAACTTTCAGCCTGCTGGACTACAGAGCAGAGAAAGAACTGCCAACCTTAGCACATTTAATTGGGCATGGCACTCATGGCACACCTAGTCCCAGGACTCAGGTGGGGAGGCAGGGGATTTCAAGCCAGCCTGGAATCCCTGAGATCTTAAAAAACCCAATGCCCTCGGGGCTGGAGAGATGGCTCAGAGGTTAAGAGTACTAACTGCTCTTCCAGGGGTCCTGAGTTCAATTCCCAGCAACCACATGGTGACCTCTTCTGACATGTAAGCAGAACACTATATGTAATAAGTCTTAAAAAACAAAAAACCCAATGCCATCCCCAGTTATGGGGCTCATTCACTGTAGTAGGGTGCCACCTGGTGGTGGGCCCAGTGTGGTTCACAGCTACTCTGACATGAAAATGGTTAAATCCAGCAATAGCTTAAGACAATGTTAACTTTGCCTGCAAAAACAACATTCCTCCCCAAAACTCTGTGTAGCTTTTGCTTGCATGCATGGGTGTACACTGTGTACAATGCAATGCCCAGGGGCATCTGCTCCCCTCTTCCTCCTGTTCCCGGTAAGCAGCCCCTGAATGCCATCCTGCATTCACCTCACAAAGCCCCATGCCTTCACTTTCCCAAGTCTCACAGCTCGCAACACTTCTTTCTCCAGGGAGGAGATGGTTATATGGCTCAGCCTATGATAGCCAGGGAGTATACAGGGGCTTCCATCCCAGCAATCCCTTCCCATGTAAAGACTGAGGACACACAAGACTTTTTAGGGTTTTTAATAGTCAAACGCAGAAGTCTGGTTCATTTCAGCTCCTTCACTGCCAAACCTGGGGGAAGAATGAGGTAGATGGTTGACATAAACGTTGTTGTGGGCTCATTTTCTGGTGTGACAATGAGTTTGGCTACAGCAAGAGGGTGGTAAGAAGCCCACTCTGGACCATCCACCCCCAGCAAGGACTGGAGCAAGAGAGGCCCTGGCTGCTGAGCAGTCCCTGTCCAACAACCCCCACACCAATCATCTCCCTCAGTTTCCATCCCAGACCCCCAGAATAAGGAGGGGGGCTCAGGGAGCCCTACTCTCGTGAACATCACCAATAAAGTTCACAGCACCCCCCAAAACAAACAAAAACTAAAAACAAAACAGTGCCCTCAGACCTAGCCCACCGCTGTCACAGGATCTTCTCTGCAAATTCAGGTGCTGTGAGGATTAAATCAACTATAAACTAGGGCCAAGGATTTTTAGGATCAGACAGAGCCTGAGAGTCGCAACCATGCCCCTGCACAGATCACAGCAAAGACAAACACCCCCACAAAGTGGCTCTCCTAACCCTAGGGATGACCTTAAGCAACACAGGGGACCCACCCACCTCCACTCTGTCTCAGGCTTACTTACCAGGGGGCAGGGACTGTTTCAACTTCTCAGCCTTCTCTTTGTCTGTGATAACCAGAGTGTAAAGGTACCTGCTGCAGCGAACCTTGAACTTCACATTATCCTTGTTCTTCTTGATCTTGACAGCTGCCAAGGAGACCAGAATTAAGGATGAAGCTGCAGGTTTAGCAGTTGCTTGCAGCTTTTCAGGGGCCCAGAGTTCAATTCTCAGCAACCACATGGTGGCTCACAACCACCTGCAATGAGATCTGGTGCCCTCTTCTGGAGTGCAGACACACATGCATACATAATAAACAAACAAAAAAGATGGAGCTGCCAAAGAACAGGTACAGAACCACACAGGTCATAGGTCATGTCATGTGCCTTACAGATGGCCACAACTAGTCAGACAGGTGAGCCAGCTCCTAGCTCCTCACCCCTCCCCCACTGTCGAATGCTGAACGGACTGGAAAAAGCTTCTCATTTTCTTTCTTATATACTTAATGGGTCTCAGCGCTTACTCAAGGCATTTGCAAATGTACACGAAATCCACACTTGGCACCCTAACCACAGTATCACAGAGCACTCTTAAAATGACCTATGACAACCCTCTAAAGGCAGTCTCTAAAAGAAGGAAATGGGTTATCTGCTGGGATTAACAACTTTCTGGCCTTCCACTTCTGGAAACCAATTTTCTGTGCATGGGGACACTGTGGACACGCACTGACCTTTTAGGATACTCTATTTCAGTGTACCCTAAAGCAGAGAAGCTTTCCCTAAACGTTTTTGTGGGACCTGGCTCTTAAAAAAAAAAAAAAAAACACAAAAAATCCGGGGCTGGAGAGATGGCTCAGAGATTAAGAGCACTGACTGTTTCTCCAGAGGTCCCGAGTTCAATTCCCAGCAACCACATGGTGGCTCACAACCATCCGTTATGAGATCTGGTACCCTCTTCTGGTGTGCAGATATACATGGAAGCAGAATATTGTATACATAATAAATAAGTCTGTAATTACGTGTAAGTGCACATGTCTGTGTAGGGCACAGGCGTGAGAATGCACGTGCCTGGTGTCCAAAAAGGGCATCACTGCTACAGGCAGTTGTCTGAGCCTAAGGATGGATCCAAGAGCAGCAAGGGCTTTGTTAAGACGGGTTTCTCTTTGTAACAACTCTGGCTTTCCTGGAACTCAGGGATTCCTAGCCTCTACTGGGATTAAAAGCTCGCTGGGGCTCTTTACCCTTAAGTCACCTCTCCTGGTCCCCATAATATTATCTTGTGACTCCAGCGCAGACAAGTTCCAGGTGCACCACCGCACAGATCTGGTTCTGTTCTAATGTGGAGACACTTTGAAGCACGAAGCTATACAGCAGCTGGACAGTAGTCACCTACTTCCTAGAGTGAGCTGGCCATTCTGGGTACTTGTCAAATCTCTGGCTACACCTTCCTCACAAACCTTTCAGACACCACCAGCAACTCCAGGCTATAAAAGCAGTGAAGCACTAACGCTTCCAAGACTAGCAGCACAAGATCAGCGAGTACTCTCAACTCCATCTCTGTCAGGAACTTCTTTGGGGACAGGGCACTTCATAGAAGCAGGGGGCCCATAGTCTGCTCAAAGCACTGGCTATGCTGACCTTGTCTTACCAAGTCCAGACACTGGAATGCAGTACTCTATGCTGGCAGTTACTGTACCCCTGAAAATGAAGTCAAACAGCATTTCTGGATGTGACTGAGTTCTTGAGGCAGGGTCTCACATAGCTGGGCAGGCCCTGAATTCACCGTGTGGATGAGGTTACAGGGGTGCTCCACCATGCTGGGAAATGAACCTCAGGAGTGCTCTCATACCCTCAGCCCCCAAGCTTTGGTTTCAGGCCAGCAACCCCACTTCTGGGTCAATACCCAAAGGGAAATAAATAAATGCAGAGCCAGGCTGACAGAGAGTGTGTAAGCAGCCCTATGTCCGTCAACATAGGGAAAGTGGTGCACCCTCCCCCCAGAGTGGGAATGCTGACTTGTAACACCAGCACTTGGCAGGCAGGGGCAGTTCCAGATAAAAGAGAAACCCGTGAGATAGCGGAGTGGGTAAAGGTACCTACTGCTGCCAGGAGACCCAACCACTGCACCTTGTCCTCTACAAATGCACACACAATAAACAAAAATGCAAACCAATCACAACAAAGAAACCAAGCCAGAAGTTAGGAGGCTGAGAAAGAATCACCAAGTTCTAGGTCTGAGGTCAGCATAGCAGGCCACTCAGGGCCTGTTTCTAAAAACAAAACCCACTAGAAATCAGGTTCAAAAAGCACACCTGCAAACAAAACTCGCATAATTCAATTTATTAACCTGCTAAAGAACTAGACGGATCTGCTGAGACGTCCTCACCAGCCAGAGGCACAACCTCAAACCTGGTCCTATGCTCACAGAGGGGAAAAAAAAACCACCACTCACGACAGAGCTAGGACACCAGAAGGTAGGGCCAAATGGTACAGCCAGCGGATGAAAACACAAGGAAACACCGGCTGGGCCCACCAGCGGGAGACATCCTTCCCACCACATGACCCTGATTCCCACCATCTACACAGCACCAGATCAAAGGCAACAGCTTGTTTGGAGTAACAGGGAACACCACCTAAGATCCCCGCAACTCATTCAAGGGCTCTTCCTGTCCAACCTAAAAAGACAGCCCAAATAGCTCTATTTCCATTCCCGATCTGGATCTTATGCTAAAGACGTATCTGAACGGAAAAGGAAGCCACTCGGGGTCATCTCGCACAGCAGGGAAATGTCCCTTTTTCCTCCTGTTATGTGAGGTAATGCCATTCAAGATCTTCTAATAGGCTCAACCTCCCAAACATCCTTTTAAATAAATAGGGGAAAATCCCCTCCTCGGGTATAAAAGGACAACACAAACCCAGCAGGAGGCGACAAACAACTCTGAACCTGTTTGTTTTACTCAACTATTTTTTTTTTGAGACAATGTCAGACAACAACCTAGAATTTCCCTGCTCTGTCATCTCTGCCTCCCCCAGGCCTGCGCGCCAGGTCTGGCTTCCTGCACCCCGGGCGCGCGCGTGCTTTGCACTTGTGAAGTCCTGCTACGTGGGCCAAGGAGGGTCTCTGGAGCTCTTTACAGGCTCGGGCCAGTTGACTGGCTCTGCTTGCTGACCCGTTACCTTGGCCCTCTCCTTGCAAACTGGGGGAGCTACTACACGTCGACGGCGCTTCTTTCTCGAGGCCAGGCCTCACCGTGCAGCCCTGGCTGGCCTCTGATCACAGGCATCCTCCTGCCTCTACCCCGCTGCCGACCCCCAGCGGCCGAGCCCAGGCTCTCAGAAGCCCGCGTCTGGGAGCCGCGCGCCCGCCCGGCTCGCCCCGGGCCCGCTGGAGCCCCACTCACATTTGGCGTCCTTCCGCCGGGCCGTGAGCAGGAAGTCCTTGATCTCCTCAATTTTCTGTGACGTGGCGATGGGCGCTCGGCACTGGAGACTGCACAGCTAGTGGCGAGAACCGAAGGGAATGGAAAAAGAACCAAGTACTTTTTAAAAACTGATTACTTTCTGACTTTTTCCCAGCAGCGGCGACGACCCAGGGGAACGGAAAAGAACGAGACTCCTGCTTCCGGGCACTTAAACCCGCCCAACGGAGGAAACTAAGTACGGTGTCTGCAAAGGGCCAAAAGCATTTATGCGTTCATCCTTTCCATTTCAGCAGCCCTGCCCTCTTGTGGTTCAGACTAGTAGTGGTTCAGCTTCTTAAAGGAGTGGAGAGCCAGGCTGCCAGCCCCTCCTCATCCTCTCGACACCCCCACTATCTCCTCTTCGGGTCATCCACCTTCTTAAAAAAAATCTTTCTTTTATTTTTGTTTGTTTGTTTGTTTGTTTTTCAAGACAGGGTTTCTCTGTGTAGCCCTGGCTGTCCTGGAACTCTCTCTTTGTAGACCAGGCTGGCCTCGAACTCACAGAGATCCGCCTGCCTCTGCCTCCCGAGCTCTGGGATTAAAGGCATGAGCCACCACTGTCTGGCCTAAAAACTCTTCTATTTTTATTTTTACATTTTATTTATTTATTTTTAATGTGTACCTCGATTGCATGTCATCTGTGCATCACGTGCGTGCGGTGTCCATGGAGGCCAGCAGAGGCATCGCTGGATGCCTGGAACTGGGATTACAAACAGCTGTGAACTGCCACCTAGGTGAATGGAGCCCATGTGCTCTGGAAGGGCAGACAGTGAGTGCTCTCGTGATTGGCTGTTTACGTTTTTGTTTCTGAGACAGGGCCGGGTCACACACCTTCTTCATGATGGCGGAGATGAAGACGCTCCAAAGAGACATTTGTGTCTTTCCTTTTGTTCCGGCGGGGCAGAACTTCTGCAACCACCCGGGGAACCGGAAGTGGCTCCATTATTGCATCTTGAGACCCATTGCCCAAGCCAAGAATTGGCCAGATTCCTCAGGCCGGCTCCCACCACCCATCACTTCTTCAGGTACGTAAGAAAGTGGCAGCTCTGGGAAAGCCCACTCCCTCTCCCCCCTGGGTTCCTCCCAGCTCCCCTCTCCTCCGGGCGCTGACTTTCTCAGCACATAGTTAGCCCTGATTCTTACAATATAACAATGGCTTGGAGGATAGGCTCTGGGAAACTTTGGCTATTGATTTTATTTTTATCCACTCTTATTTTATTTCTAACTCTGTATTGTGTTTGTATCCCTCCAATTTAATAATTTCGCAACAGAATGTAGTTGCCTTGTACTTATTACTGTGGAGTGGCCCCCTCAGGAGGAAGAGCATTTGCCCATGATTTTTATTTGGGACTAAACATATCTCTCTCTCTCTCTCTCTCTCTCTCTCTTTCTCCTCCTTGTGGATGAAGGAATCTGGTGGAACTCCTGCCTCCCAGTGATACAGGGCAGAAAAACTAATTGTACAAGAGTTGTTTTCAAGAACAGAACTGTGTTTCGGAACCAAAAAACGTGTCCTGACCGAAGACATTCCCACAATTCTCTCCCCGACTTTGCAGACAGCCTCTCTCCTGGGCAGATTGATGCCTTCCTGGTCTTCTCTGTCTCCCTATTTCCCCAAGAACCCTGTCCTTTCAGTCAAACCCAGGGCCTCTTAACAGGCTGCTTGTTTCTAGTCTTCAGGCATTTCTTTGCTGTCCCCTCGGATATTACAGTGTCCCTTCATCTTCTGCTTGGGGCAGGCCTTTAGCTCTGATGTCCCTCCCTTGTCACCTCTGTATAGACCTTGTGGCAGTGGTGTGGATAAACTGTTTTTTAAAGACAGGGTCTCTCTATGTTGCACTAGCTGTCCTGGAACTCGCTCTGTAGACCAGGCTGGCCTTGAGCTCACAGAGATCTCCCAACTCTTCCTCCCGAGTGTTGGGATTAAATGCGTTTTTTTTGGGGGGGGGGCAGGATATCTTGTAGCCCACGCTGGGCGCTGGGCTCCCTGTGTAGCAGAGATGACCTCCTTGAGATTCTGAGCCTCCTGCCACTACTTCCTGAGTGCTGGTGCTTCAGATGTAAGCCTCCATGGATGATGCTAATGATTGAACCCAGGACTTTTGCATGCTAGGTAGGCAAGCACTCTACTGACAGAAATATATCCTTGGTCCCCAGGAGGGCTAATCTCTTCATGTATTTGTGCGGAGTTGGTTTGAGGGCAAGAACAGGGTAGAACTTTCTGTAGGCAGCTCTTGGGTGTGATACAGTAGGTGCTCAGTACTGACTTTGGAGGATTCTCAAACTGGATGTGACATTTGAAAGCACTCAGTCTAGGAAAGGGACAGAAAGAGGGAAGGATGAAGGAATAAGACATAAACAGGAAAGGTCAGGTAAAAGTAGAGATTCAGGTACTCCAAGCAGTGCCTAGCACACAGTAGGAACACAAAATATGCTTTACGTGGCTAACTGGTGCCTCTGTTCGTTACTGCTGGACCAATCTTTTGGTGATGATTGTGGGTAGGAAGAGGGGCTGCACCTCTGTTGGCAGCCATCCCAGAGAGACAGATGCTGGCCCACTCGAATCGTGTGATTTAAGAGAGCGTAGATGCATAGAAACAAACAGGAAAACAAATTTGTTCAAGGACCAAGGTTTTCTCCACATCCCCAGGGGAACCAATAACAAAATGTACTGCAGCTATTGCAGGGCAGAGCATGGTGCCCAGAGGGAGGACTTCCCAGGCAGGGGAGCCTCGGGTGTCAGGGTGTGACTTGGGAGCCTCAGGAGTCAGGGTGAGACTTGGGACTCAGGATGGGGCTGGAGCCACTGCCTCCTGCAAGATCTGTGCCTGTAGCTTTCCTGTGATTTTCAAATGTGTGTGATGGAAGCCGCTAATGGGGGATCCTTCAGGAGAGGAGGGCTCAGACTTGAGAGCTGGCCAGAGTGGGGCCCAATTTGCCTGTCAGGGCCAGTCTATCTGTGAAGCCTGGAGGGTGGACGAGAGTCCTGGGCTGGAAGCTGAGGCACCTAGGAGAGCCAGCTGCACTGGTAGAAGGGCCTGAGAGGGGATCTCAGACAGGGCTGGAGGCAGGGGGTGGGGCTGTGAGTCCGGCCTGTATTTCTAGTCTTACACCCTTCTTGCTTTCATCTGCCTGCTGGTCTTGGGCCTGACGCTCAAAGGGTCTGCTGCAGGGCAAAGCAGGGATGGAGACCCCCCCTCCCCCGTGGGACCCCTGAAGATCCATTCATTTGGATTTCTCTCGTCAGTGTTCAGAGGCATCCGAGTGGAGCAAAGAGCTGACCCCCCACTCAGATAGGCAGAGAGGTAGTGTCTATACAGTGTGACCTGAAGGAGCTGAGAAGACTGCCTGGCACCTGCCTGGGACAATTGAAGGGCTCCCAGCAGGACGGACAGAGGGAATGGTTAGCCTGTTGAAACTGGGTGCCCTGGGAATGTTGGGAAATTCTGTGTGGTCAAAGTAGAATTGATCCTCCCGATTCCCACTTGTGCTAGAGTCATCTCCCGACTCCTGGTTTCCAATCCCTAAGGCTGTGCGTGTGGTGGGGAGAGCCAAGCATCCTGGCTCCCTCCCTTGCTGTCTGGGCTGTGGGCGCAGTGTCCGCTCGTCACCACACGGGGGCGCTGAGTCTGCGGCTGGAGAGTGACTGGCAAGGAATCTGCCTTGTGGCTCGAAACCTAAATCTCAGGCTTATAAATTGTGGATGCGATTGGTGTAGTATTTCATACCTAGAGGAGTGCTTTCTTAGTTCCCGTCACACTTAGTCTCCAGGAAGTCCCCAGGAGGCCCATGCCTTTGGCTGCCAGCATAGCAGGCCTTTAAGCCTGTCTTGTGGGAGCTGTCCATAAACCTCCCAGAAGCTCAGCGCAGAGAGAGCTTGGGGTTCTCCGTGAACTCGCAGGCTACCTGGAAGAGTCAATGGAACTTGGAAGGGAGAGGAGAGTGGGGGAGGAGAGAGGGGCTGTTTTTTCAGGGATCTAAGATGGGAAACGTAAACCGGGTACTGAGTACCTCCCTTCCCGTCCCTACAGTCTTCATGACTCACAGGTGGCCATGGGATCCAGGCAGGCACAACCAGCTGTTGAGCCAAGTGCCCGAAAACAAGGTTAGTAGGATGTAGTGATGCCTCTTGAACCCAGCACGATTTTGATATTATTATTATTATTATTTTGAGATAGAAACTCATGTAGCCCAGGCTGTCCTCAAACTTGCTATGCAGGAGAGAGTAACCCTGAAATTCTCATCCTGTGTCTTCCACCTCCTGAGTACTGGGATTACAGACAAATAACACCATACCGAGTTTGCGGTGCTGGGGTTTTATGCATGCAGGGCTTCTAGGCCTGGAACTCAGCATGACTGGTGACTGTTTCCAGACCAGATCCTTGTCTCTGGGGCTAGGGGTGAGGCTGTTTGGAATGTTGGGGGATTTTAGCAGTATCCCTTGTTTGCACCCAGTTGATGCTGGCTCTCCACAATCCTGAGGAATAAAAATGCCGGTGCACACTGCCCGATGTCCCCACAGGGCCGAATCTGTCTCGTTGGAAGTCTCCAGGGCTGGAAGGTCAAAGCCAAGGGAATATTCTTTATTTTCAAGAATACTCTATTCTGAGCCAGGTGGTGGTGCACACCTTTAATCCCAGCACTTGGGAGGCAGAGGCAAGTGGAGTTCCAGACCAGCCTGGTCTAAAAGAGCTAGTTCCAGGACAGCCTCCAAAGCCACAGAGAAACCCTGTCTCGAAAAACCAAAAATAAACAAGTAAATAAATAATGAAATAATAAATAAATAAAATACTCTATTCTGGATCATTCCCCTTTTGCTACTAGGGCTGGAACCCAGAGCCTTGCACGTGCTCGGCCGACACTCTGCTTGTGAACTACATTGGTGACGCCCCAGTCCCTTGGCCAGGTTATTTCTGAGCCCAGATCACTGTTATTGTTTTGTATTTGACTCATGGTCTGGTTAAGTAGCCCTGACTCAACCTGGTACTTGCTATGTACTTCAAGCTGATTTTCAAACTCCCAGCAATCCTCCTGCCTCAGTATGTTGGGTGCTGGTATAACCACCATGCCTGACTTTAGGCCAGGTCTTTGCACTCTGTTGTACTGCCCTTTCTTTTTCTTCTGTTTCTTCTCTCTTTTTTTTTTTCTTTCTTTGTTTTTTTGAGACAGGGTTTCTCTGTGTAACAGCCCTGGCAGTCCTGGCACTCGCTCTGTAGACCAGGCTGGCCTTCAACTCACAGAGATCCTCCTGCCTCTGTCTCCAGAGTGCTGGGATTAAAGGCGTGAGCCACCACCATGCCTGGCCTGCTGCCCTTTCTTATTTTTACACATAGCCTAGGAGATCAGAGAGTTGCTGCACTGAAATTTGGCTTCCACCCTGGGCCTGCATCACAGCGGCTCTCAGCCCAGAGTGTGGCTAGAATAACTTTTCCGTCAGGAAGTCTGTGTTTGTATGGACAGGTAGACGGGAGGAGGCAGAATGCGCACCAAACCCACGGTGAAGGTGCCCAAGAGAGCAAACATTCCCCCAAGCCAAGGCCATTTCCCAGACACCTGTGTTGGTCGGGTCCCTCATCACTCACCTCCCTGTCTTTGTTCCCATTCCAGGGAACCCAAAGACTAGCAGTGAAGGCAGAGATGAAGCAGAGCGCCACATGGGAGAAGTGCTTCATACCCTATGGGTCAGAAGGGTGCTGTGGGAGGAGTCATCCAGGCGGGGGTGGGTTAGACCTGGGAAGGAGGAGTCATCCAGGCTGGGGATGGGTTAGATCTGGGAGGGTCGAGTCATCCAGGAGGGGAGGGGGGGGGTTGTGGGTGGGTGGGTTAGACCTGGGAGGGTCACTTTGTCCTGAGAACCCATCCAGCTCCTCCCTTCCAGAATGCACCAGCTGTCATGCCCAGACATTCCAGGAGAAATGTACAAGAGCAAAGAAGTGATCTGTTTGGGTGGCTTTCATCCAGGCGGGAAGAGGACAGTGCTCCTGGAGACAGGCAGTCCCGGTTCGCACTGGTGTTTGGCTAGCCAGTCTCCAGAAATCTGTGCCTGTGGGCTCTTTCAGGGAGGGTGTAAATACCTGCTCTGAGCCAGGCCACCGCAGCTGCTTGTGGGTTAAGTGATGGAGTGCTGTGACCCCGCTTCTGAGCAGCCAGGAGACCCGAGGGACACTGGCCAGCAGGTGGCGCTGTGGCTGCTCACAAGGTGAGTGAGTCCCAGACAGGTGCTGGGGGAGGTGGGCTACCGAGTGAGCACCTCCCTCGCCTGGCCTTGGTGAGGCAGCAGGGACCCTGGGAAGCCCCAGGAGTCTCCTCCATGGAGGCGCAGAGTCGGCATTGACAGACGATGCTCCCCCAGTCCCCTGCCTCACTGCACAGGCTTTCCCCCTTAAAGCTGCGTCCCCAGCATCCAATCTCCCCCTGTAAAAAAGGACAGATTACACTGGGCTCCCAGCAGCAAGGAAAGTAATATTGGGGCCGAGGAGAATCCATCTTGAGCACAAGGGACAGGCACCCCTCCTATATATCAACACGTACCAGGGCGAGGGGACGTTGGAGAGGAAAGAGAAAGGGCAGCATCCCTTCAGAGAGCAGGGCAGGGGCCAGCCTATCGGTGTGTATATATCTTGCATTATGCAGCGTGGGAGGGAAAATCAATAGAGCTGTCAGCTGTTAATGCATTCAGTCCTGCCACCGTCCCCACCCCGGGATGCTCCAGACGGATGCTTCAAATTAAACAACAGGGAAGGGAGAGGGGTGCGGGAGGCCAGGAGACATACACTCTGACAGGCCGGAGGAAAGCAGAGGCACAACTGAGGGCCAGGGAAATTAAA